ATTTTCTTTTTTAACTTTCTCTACAAAGCACACATTTTTCGCAAAATTAAAATTTTGTAAACAACTATTTAAATTAAACAGCGTAATAAAAAAATAACAAGAACAATAATAAAAAGACGGAGACGGAACGAAAATAAGAAGCACATAATAAATAATAATGTGCACATGAATGAATGGATGTGTGCCATTCGCGTGTTAATTATGTTTATGTTTTCAGATTTAGGTAATTTTATATTTAATTTATGCAAACATAATTATATAAATATTATTTATTTTAATTATATGGAAATAAAATCACTTAAAATATCATGAATAAATAAATGATAATGTAGGTACGAATAGTATTTCATTTCCATCTTAGACTATTTTGAAATAAAGGCAGAACGCAATGACTTTTAGCCCAAATTGTGTCCATACCGAATTACTACTAAATAACTAGTTGATAATCATCAATTAAAATTGAAAAATAAAAGGCCACATATACTTATATGTTTTGTTCATTAATAATTACGAATCAGAATAAATGCTTCCATTTGCGAAGATTACACCTCAGCTTATTCTTTTTGAGCTTCCTCCCACAATTGAGCGCATTCGAACCCCTGTTGCTTTAACAAATATAAACTTTCGCCTCTTACACTTAATAGAAATTATATCAATTAGGAATTAGAACAACTTTGTGAGAAAAATACACCCGGTTTCTACGAAGCACTGAAAACATGCGCGGTTTCCTCTAGAGTATTATTGATGAGCATTACTAGTGTCTTGATGAGCATTAACATTACATTATACTGTTTGGAGGAAATGATATCATCGACATTATAACCTTTTGCGGAATCTGTGAGATTAACCCATATAGATGTATCTAAAAGAACTAAAGAGAGAGGTTGCGAAAGTGAGATTGGAACTGTAAAAAATTTCTTCTGGGTATCCGACAAGGACGACAAATAAATTAGTTTCTTTTGGATGACTATGACTTGAAGCGGTTCAAGAAATTAATTTCAATAGGGAAAAACTAACTGAAAATCTTTGAGGCGGGGAAAACCTTAATACGTGTTCTGGTAGAACGGGGGCTTTAATATTTTAATAATGAAGACTAAGTATATAAATTTCAAACAAACAACTGAAACTACTAAGAATCAAACTTGTATGTAGCATGCTTTTCAATATAAAAATTCTGTTATACAGAAATCAAAATTAAGAACCATATACCAGAGACAACTCTTAAATTTTTATATTTAACTAAATTTTTAGAGCGTTGTACTGCTACTGAATACATAAATAGAAATTATACAAAACTAAATTAAAAATTTCAATATAAAAACACAAAATTGTTTAAGCCATCTTTCGGTATAAATACAAATTACTATTTTATTTTGAACTGTTGAATTGGAGTGTAAAGTATACTTGCATACTTAAGAGTGAGTAATTGAATTACTGAAAATAATTCTGTCAACTTACTCCTTTTGACCGTATGAATATTTTTCTGTATTATACAAGAACGTCATCGTCATGTTAAGTTCCATTTGAAAATCATCTATTTCATGAAATTGTTATACGTACATACATATATACTGTTATACATATACTTAAGCACAAATATACATAATTTATTTATTTTGAAAACGTGAACTCTAACAAATTTTGTAATAACTTTTATGAAAATAATAACAAAAAACACGAAGTTGTATATATAAAATAAAATATTAAGTTTGTACATTGTGTAGTTGCAAGTTATGAGTAATTTTTTTGTCAAACATTTATATTTACACACTGTTATACCTACTCAATTTATTACTAAATTATTTTCATGTACACATAAACTTATATTATTATTTTTTTGTTTGTTATACAACTGTATATAACTGTACTACATATCCATTTATATATAAAGAAATAATTTTTATGAAGTCATTCTAATTTTTGTTTTCATTCTTTCTGTTTTTTTTTCTCTGTTAACATTTTTATTATTGAACATTTTTACTATAATTTTACATATTTTTCTTTTATTTTTTACTATTATTTCTTTTATATTTTTTATTTTGTATTTGCTTTTTGTATTGTTTTTTTTGAAATAACCCTATCTACAATCATATACTAGTAGTATGCCAGTTATGCTTTTGTTCTACTAAAGTTTCTATATGTAGAGAAAAAAAAAAACATAATGTAAAAAGAAATAAGTAGAAATTCACGCAATCATATAGGTAGGTTAAATGAATGCGGTAGTAATACAGTTAACATAAGAAATAAAAAGAACAACAATAGAAATAAAGAAAAAAAAAACAAGAATATAATAAAAGAGATGGATGAATGAATATCGCATTAAAGTAAAAGACCATAGCAATAGGAAAAGATTAAAAGAAAGACAAAGAGAGAGAGATAGAAATAAAATGAATAAGAAAGATAAAATTGTTGTTCTATTTTATGATATTTTTACTGATTGATAATAAAGAATAGAGAGGAGTAGCAGTGAAAAGGGAAGAGAAACTATACTATATAAACAAGAAGAAAAAAAATCCGTCTTCTGTTCTCTTCTGGCCATGACATTCATAATAACACGCTCTCATTTTTTTTCAGTAAATTATTCATTATTTTTTATAATTTTTTATAAATTCCGGAATAATATAAATATATTTTTTTATACCTTATCATTCTCTATTTATTTTATTAGATTCATATTAGTTGAGCAGCTCAATAGTTTCTGAAAAAGAACTTTGGTTAAAATAATAAAAAAATTTTTTTTTATGGAAATTTTTAAATATTCTTAATAAAGATGACAACTCTTCATAGCTCTCCACTCTTCTCTCATAATTCTCAATAAATGTCATTATTTTAGGATTTTATAATTCTAAAACGGAGAGTTTAGGTGTGGATATTCCAGAAAATTTAATAAAAAATTAAAAAAAAACTTGGCTGAATTACGTACTACCTTTTTTTATTTAATAATATTATTTTGATGGTTTTACTTTTTTTTTTACAGATTACTACAACTTTAACTTAGTAAAGAACTTATTTGTAGGTTACAGAATATTGTTGTGATATCCACACACACACTTATATGCATACATGAACTTAAATAGCTTTGTGTATTTACGTATGGGGTTTTAAATACATACATGCATACCTATGTAAATTCTCTAACTATAATGTAATTTTTTTTTTCAATTTTTATTAAATAAAAAGCTTTTTATATAAATCATGTACATTCGATTATCCGTATATATATACACATATTTTAATATACATAAGTAAAAATATATTAATGTATTCCCATAGTATGTAATTTATTTATCAAAATATAAATATCTATACATAAATTAAATATACCGATACCTGTACATTTATATTATATACATACATATATATTTTGCATATTTAAATAGTTATATCAGTGGCAATAAGGTAAAATCTATGGTCTAAATCAGAAATAAAAAGTTTCAAATAAATAGAAATCAAACATTTCAAATTATTTAAAAAAAAAAAACATTTAAGGTCTTTAAATCTTAAATGATCTGAGGCGCTGAGAACACCTGTTTTGGGTTGTCTTTGCATTCATTCCTAGCCATGTTACTGATGATCTTCCAAGTCCTCTCTTAGGTATTGGAATGTCAAGGGCCTTTCAAACAGTGTGCTCCTCGTCTCGACGCACGATATGACCTTACCATTACAGTCGCTTTTCTAAAAGATTTTTTTTAATGTCTGCAACCTTGATGGTACCCCTGAAGTGTTCGTTTCATATCTTGTCTAATTTCATCATGCCTGCGGACCACCTTAACATTCTCATTTCGGTGACATGTAGCTTTTGTTCATGTGTTTTATTGGCCGCTCAGCAGCCAAGCTGGTCTGAACGCTGTTTTGTAAATTTTGACTTTAAGTTTTTCCAAAAATTTTTATCACACAAGACACCTGTAACCGTTCTCTACTTCATTCAGTCAGCATTAAAACGACTAGTAACGTTCCCATCGATTTTCCCGTTTGACGATTTGATTGAATCAAGATATTTGAAATCATTCGTTAACGGTATTGGATCGCTTTGTATTATAATTGTATTTATAGGACCTATACATATTTCGTTTTTAGATTGTACATACATGTATTCTCGCCACTGATCTACTTTCGTTTACAACGCATCTATGGATTCGACTAGGATTGCAATATCGTCCATATCGTATATCATTTTACAGGCAACAGGATCTTTGATATACCTCAAGATCAGGATCTTTAAATATTGCAATATTTCAATTTTTTTTTGCTAAGCAGTTTTTACCTATTGCCATAGACATTCACATTACATAATACATATATAGGAAAAAGGTATATTTAATTCAGATACCTAAAGTAGGCAGGATACTTATAAAAGTCTTAAATTCCATTAATTATTTATATAAAAGGAGTTTTCGTTTTTATTTCTGTTTTTTTTTTTTTTTAATTTTTATGTTTTTTTATTTTAATAAAAAATTTATATAATATTATGTATGTATATCTGTATTTTTATATTACATATTTACAAAGCTACAAACATATTTCAATATATATGTATGTAGAATTTTTAAAAAAAAAATGAAAAGGACTAAAAATCGAATTGTTTTTTTTTCCTTTACTCTAAAATATCATTAGTTCAAGGTATTTTTTATTGTCGGCGGTTAAAGTTCTACTAGTATAATATTGTAGTTTGTTGCCTGATAACAGGAAAGAGAGAGAGTTTTGTTAAAAAAAAAATTATTAAGAAAAAAAAATAATAATAATAATAAAATGGTTAAGACAATAATTGTGATTTCATTTTAGTTTTCTGTTTTTTATTGTTTGTTGTTCTCTTTTGCTTTTCTTGTTTTCGTGTTTACAATCTGAAAAGAGAAAATTGTGTTTTGTTTTTTTGTTTATAAAAATCAATCACAATTCACAATAGTAATAATAATAATTATTTTGGCAAAAAAATAAAGAAATAGTGTAATAAGTCTAAAAATAAAACAAATTTAATTTACCTTATATATACCAGAATTTATCTTAGCAATATAAGAATGGGTCCTTTCTTAAGAAAAAAATTGTAAGTCATTTATATAAAAATAATTTTTTATATTTTAAATAAAAAATATAAAATATTGATGTGAGAAATATAGAGTCGAATAAAATTTAAAAATTATTTATTCTTCGAATTTTCACCGCCCCTGTTTACTCATAATAAACCCAATCTCATTTCCAAAAAAAAAACATTGATTAATTTTTTGAGGATATCAGCTGATTTATTAATTAATATAAAAATAAATAAATTATTTTTTTTTGTTTAATTTAAAAATTAATTAAAATATTTTTTTGATTTATTACAAAAAAAAAAATATACTGTGTCGATTGTGGGCTTTTGTGAATGGTTTAACAAAAATTTAAAAGGATAACAAGAAAATGGTGATTTATTTTAATTTTCCTCCTTCTTTCATACTTTCTGCTCGCCTTTATAATTTCAATATAAATTTAAAAATATTGATTTTATTATAATTTTTCCTTCACTTTTTTGTTTCTCTAAATATAATCTCTTTATAGATGTAGTTATCATTATATCTAGTTAATTAATTAATAAATACAAAATAAAATAAAAATATTTTTCTTTCAAAAATTATTTTAATAGCTAAAACGAAATAATATTTAAACGCGTATATGAGAACACGTCAATATTCAAATTAAAATTTTATTTTAAATTAATCCCAGGTCCATAGAGTATATAGATATGTATAGCTATTTGTAGTGTATATAAATTTTAAGGGTATATAATTATAGTAATTTGCTTCATGTAATTTAAAGCAATTTTTAATTTGATATTTTTATAAAAACAGAAAAACGAAAACCCAATTGAATTTTAAATTAAAATTCGAAAATTAATATGTAATTATATCTACGTACTAGAACTTATTGTTCTAGTACATAGATATAATTACTTATTGTGAATTGAATATTAAAAATAAAATGTCATATCTTAATTAATATAATATAAAATCTGTTTATAAGATATTGTGAACGTTATCAAAGATTAAAATAAAAATTGTTTTATTAAACTTTATAATGTTAAAAATGCTACATTATTTACACTCCTTCAAAATGTATATAATATAACATTTTAGGTATATGGCGGCTCCTGGTTACCACTATTTATTTAAAGAATCAGTAAAAGAAAAAGTATGTTTACTTTTTGATTACTAAGTTACAATTGTGTCTTTAGTGTTTCTCTTAAATTACACTTATATATCACAAAATTTATCACAGTTATATAATTCAACATTTTCTCGCAGTACAACGTGTTGCACTACTAGAAGAATAGCTGTAATGTAAACACTACTAGTATGCAACACTTTGACATATATGTGGCGTTCGATTTAAGATCATATAAAATTCATTATAATTATATAAGACGTAGAATGTATAAAACTTCCAACTATACTTTTCTACATACATAGGGGGAATTAAAATGAGTAGTTACGCAAATTTATTCCGACAGATGGCTTAACATTTATATATAGGATATAAACGTCAACTCTTTTATATAAATTTAATTTATAGGTCAGTTTTTATTATTATATTATAAAGGATTTCTATGTAAAATATGTAAACACATTTCTTTAGACAGATCAAAGTCATTATGTAAATTCACCGATATAATCATTCCCATTTTCATATTTTACGAATTCAATTGCGACAATCAAAATTTTTATTTTAAAATTTTTCATTTTTCTTTAACTAACCATTTAATTGCATTATTTCTAATTATACTGACTTTTACTATTATATTTGTAATGGTTGAATTTTACCATTAAATAAATGCTATACCAATAATTATATTTTTCTGTTATAATTGTTATTTTACATTTCCGATTTCGTTCTTTCCTTTCTTTTTTAATATACGTACATATATTAAAAATTCATAATGTACATAACATTTAAATTGTATAATAAATTAAACTACATTTAAAATTTTAATTGAAAATCATTATACGCGCAAAGTTACGAAAAAAAGGAGAGAAAAAATGTCATATCGAATTGAAAATTAAATTCTTATTGAAATAAAGAGGGGAGAGGGTTGAAACTTTTATTTTACGCCTTTACCTTAATATATGTGTATGCAATTTGTATTTAAATTTAATTAATAATTTTTATAGGTAATCTCCGAATAAGTTCATTTAAATTGTAACGAAAATTCATATATTTTACACTGACCCGAGTTGCCGTGTAGAAAAAAAATTGCTTCGAAAAATAAGGGAAAACCGAAAGTGCAATTCGAAGATTCAATTAAAAAGCCTGATATTTATAGTAGTAGTTTTTTATGACAGATGAAGTATAATTCCTAACCTCTTGTGCATTTACAGAATTTAAAAATTGCTTTTGGTTCGGAAAGGTGCGACATAAAAGCAAATGTGTTTTAGAGAATTAAGGCTTTCACTAATATATATTTGGATATAAAATTTCGTTGTTCTATTTTGCACGGCATGGAGGTTTTGCAAGCAAACGGACAGATAAACTAAAACTAATAAGTACATTTGTCCCATAGTTTTTTTTTAAGAATGTGGCAAAAACGGATTAAATAGAAAATGCACATTTACAACCCACATTACGAATCACGCAAATTACGAAATCTAATTCACGACATTTACAAACAAATATACATATGTATGTACATGCATACATATCATATCACGTTAATAAATTTCTTTTCAAATTAAAAAAACAAAATTATTTCTAACTACTGTGGGAATTTACAATCCGCATACATGAATTTATTTAATATGAACATTGTTATGTACATATAGATTTATTTTATATAACTTTAAACATATACATAAGTATGTATGTATATATGTATTACATACAAAATAGTTGTTAGTATCAATGTTATTAAATTTAAAATTCACAATATTACATCATCCTTAAAAAATTTTGTTAAAATTAATTTTGTCAATATTTTTTATGTAGAGCTTTGTTGTGTGGAAATCGTACTACCGTCTATAGATATCATACTTATCGTTAACTAATTATAGCGTGTTTTTACTTAAATACGCAATAATGTAGGTCAACTTACAAAATAGCACAAATATTTTTTTTTTGCGTGGAGTATACGTACACGTAACGTATACCTTTTTAACATTTCTTATTAAAGCAAAATATTTAACGATATTTTTATCTTTTAAGATATCAACCATAGGCATAATATTAATGACATTTTATCCCTTATTAGAGATTAAATAGGCAGTAACACGAAAAAGTGTATTGGAGGGACTCTATTGCAAATATATTTTAGCAAACAGATATAGCAGTCAACCTTGTAATAAATAGTTTGACAGATCATAACACGTCAATTTTTTTTTAAACCGTCAACTTATATGTTCACTTCTTAATTTGTTAGTAATTTTACAGTTTTTTTTATACACTTCTAGGATTCTAGGATTATTCCGTCAAAAAATATTATTAATAATTCATTTTCAATATATTACAAAACTGCTTCCCAACAGCGCCAACTCTCTTTTGTTACTACAAGTAACAATGACAAGGTACATTTTGCGTTGTTTACTATTTAAATTTTAGGAATGAAGTGCGTCTTACTCCACTTTAGTTTTTGTAAATAAAAAAACTTGTTACTCAGAATTCTAAATTTAAATATTGGTTTTAAAATGCAATTTCTAATTTAATTAATTTTTCTTAAAACAAATATTTTTTTTTGTTTTTTAACTTTCGAATTATAGTTTAGCAATTAAAAATGCAGAAGATAATGGTCCAACTCGAAGAGATCCACAAAATTCAGAGTTACTAAGTGAAGGGGAACAGTAAGTTTTTTTATTATATATTTTTATATAATTACAAATACTTAAATAAATTCAAATAAAAGGAATTCACATCGTTTTAGGCCTACATTAGATGAAATACGAGGTTGGGGTAGAAGTTTTGATAGATTAATGAGAAGTCCAGGTACGTATTATTTTCTTTTCTAATTACTTAATTGTATATATATCTATACATATATTTATAACTGCTTTGTTTTTATTTCATAAAAAAAAAGGTGGTCGTAAAGTATTTCGTGATTTTCTACGTGGTGAATATAGTGAAGAAAATATATTATTTTGGTTAGCATGCGAGGAATTGAAAAAAGAAACAAATCCAGAAGCTATTGAAGAGAAAGCTAGATTTATATATGAAGATTATATATCGATTTTATCACCAAAAGAGGTTTCATTGGATTCACGTGTTAGAGAAATCGTTAATAGAAATATGGTTGAACCAACAACTCATACATTCGATGAAGCTCAATTACAAATTTATACATTAATGCATCGTGATTCGTATCCAAGGTATAAACATACATATACATATATATAAAGAGAATAATTGGAATAAAGTTTTATTAATTCTATATCTAATTATAAAGGAGTATATAGAAAATTATTCATTCATGTAAATTCACAACAAAATGAAGTAGATTCTCCAAATGTTTATATTATAGACAAATGTTGTCGTTCACATATTTTATATGCAAAGTTATACATGTACAAGACGCCACCACGAAGTTCTACTATAGTATATTCTTAATTACATAAATGACTAAAATAGTTTTATATTTTTTCTTGACATCAATATGCCAGTTTAAATTCTAATCAATGTTAATTACTAGATATTTATTGTATTGTACCAATTCCAGTTTAATATTCTTAATTTGTATATTTAGCTTATTTGTATATTAAGCCACTACTGTGTTGGGCACATGTAAAATTTTAAAAATTAGTGCATTTGTTTTCAAATTAAATCTCAACGATAATTTCAAGTGTTTTACTAAGAGTAAACAAAATGATGAATTGATATTGGATGAAAATCATATGTTTCCAATGAATTATGTTAAAGTTGATTGAATTTTTTGGCTTAATTTGAGATATTAGTTCTACTTCATTCATTTAACTTTAAAAATATATAAAAAAAGCTGAAAGACAACATACGTCTCATTCTGTCTCATTCTTCTCTTTATAAAGGAAATAAACTGGAACTAATAAATAACTAAAATTTAAATTAACCCGTACCTTCTCATCACTGTTTCTCACAACACTCAATGTTTAAACACACACAAGACACTTTTGTCATTGTATAAACTTTTCGCAAGGAAAGGAGTCATCTTAATATTTTAAATATTTTCATATTAGATTTAATTATATAAATTTTTTAATGTTTATAACCATACAAAATTTATATTCACCATATTTTTTAAAATCTATTCAAAAATTTTTACTTATGTATATTTTTAGATTTATAAATTCACCATTATTTAAATCGCTTGCACAATTACCCGAAGGTGTTTCAGCATCAGGATCTCAAAATGAAAGTCCAACATAAATTATAAATTATATATAATAATAATAAAATATGTTATTCAACAAAAAAAAATCATAATATAAACAAAAACGATATAAAAATTATAAAAAAAAAAATATTAAATTAAATTAACATTAGAAAAAACAAAAAACACAATGAACTCATCATTTATAACATAAAAGCATTAAAAAAATCGACTTAAAAAAATTAAACAAGAAAAAAAATCATTTATTATTACAAAATATAAGAGAAGAAAAAACTAAAAAAAAAAATTATTTAAAAAAAAAAATTAATTTGATCTCTCAGAAAAAAAAAGAATTATTTTATTTTTGTTTTTTAAAAAAATACTTTCCCAAAAAAATTTCACAGTGAGAACAATGAATGAACTCGACACAACCATACCCAAACCAACAATGCTAAAATAAAAACAAAGTAACGCTATCATTCTATAAACTCGCAAAATTCATATATAAAACAAAAAAAACTATTACATACACAAGTACATACATAAAAAAATTAAATTTAAATGAGATCAACATAAATTTTTTTGGTACAGTAAAATTAGTAAAAGAGAAAAAAAAAAATAAAAATTAAAATTGAATATAAGATAAAAGTAAAGAAAAATAGAAAATAAATTAAAAAAAAACTATAAAATAATGAAAATCCAATTCAGTGCAATAAAATTAAAATAATAAAAGAAAAAATAATTAAAAAAATATTAAAAAAAAAATCATTTGTTAACCTTTTATGCCATGATGAACACTTCTATAAATAAATAAATAAATAATTGAAAAAAATCACTATGTTTTGAAAACAAAACTATTAAAATATTTAAAAAAAGATGTAAAAGAAAAAAAAAGAATTAAAAAATTGTAAAAAACAAATTATTTAAATTTTTTTTTATATAATTTTAGCTTTAGTCATTAATTTTAATTTTAAATTTTATTTTATTTTCTAAAAACAAAATAAATACTGTTATTTATTAATTCTTACTATCATTAAACTATATTATTAAATTGGTATTTAAGAAAAAATTAAAAAAAAATTAAAAATATTTTTATTTATTCTTATAAAAATTATAAATATTATATATTAAAAAAAATTAGAAATTTAATATATAAAAAATTAAAAACAAAAATAGTTATTAATGATTAGTCAATGTGAAATTTATAAAAAAAAAAAAAAATAAATTTAAATTTAAAAATTCAAAAATTGCTAATTTATTATTTAATTTTAGAACAATGATGATAACAAAAAACAACCTTTCTTCATATATTCTTTGCTTTATTATAAATTCTAATAAAATAACAAAAGAAAAAAAAAATAATGAAATTAATAAAACATTAAAAATCACTATAAAAAAAACATAATAATCAAACACAAAACTTTCAAAATATCTAAACGGAATGTAGATAAAAAAAAAACCAAAAAAAACAAATCGAAAATTTAATAAAAAAAAATATTAAAAAAAAACAAAAACAAAGTTATTTAAATTTTTAATTTAATAAAAATTAAAAAACAACATGAAAAAATGAATTATTTTTTAGATAAATAAGAGTAAATAATAGTAAAAAAAAAATATTTATTTTTTAATTTTTAATTTTTAAGGCAACAAGTCTCAGAGTCATAAAAATATTATGGTTATTTTTAAGAACATATTATTATATATATACATACATACATATAGAATTTTATCTGTAAAAATTAAATGAAGATAACAAAAACAAAAAAATCACAAAAAAAAAAACTTAAATATAAAAACAACAACAAAATAACAATGATATAGTCTCTTAAAAAATTTTATAGTAAAAATAATAAAGTGGAAAAAAAAAAATTTTTCAAAAAAAAAAAAATACTAAGTAAAAAAATCGCAAAAAAAGAAAGTAATGAAAATTGTGAAAATACCAACTAAAAATTAAAAAAAAAAAACAAACAAACTTTGTACTTTTTAATATTTTACTTTTAAATTTAAATATTATTAAATTATTAAAATTAATTATTTAAAAATTAAATTAAAATATTTTTTTATTAATTTTTGTATATATTTTTTTTTTCATATTTTTAATAATTATTTATAATTATGTACATTATAATTAAGATTGTATTTAATTAAAAAATGCAAAAATTTTATTATTTAAATTTAATAAAATTATAATTGAACATTTGAATATAAAATTAATTAATATAATAAATATATATTTAATATAATTATTATAGAAAATATGCATACAAAAAAAATAAAATAATAAAAAAATTTGTGTTTATATCATTTTGTTAAAATAAGTATATTAAGTAAAATTTTGTGATTTTATATTTTAAATTAGATTTATTTTAGCGTTAAATTTATTTAGTGTTATACTAAATCTATCTGTATATGACAAAAAAAAAATTGATTTAGCATATTTTTCATATTCAAATCTATGTATAATAAAATCATACAATTTTAAAGTATAGTAAAATGGAAGTGAAAAAAAGTACGTACCTCAATAATATTTGAATACTTAAATATAATTAAATTTTTTTCTCGTAAGAGACTGAAATCATTATTTCCTTCTCACTTGAACCCATAAGATCTTTTGTGATTCCATTCGTCACCTACATTAACACTATATTCCCTGAAAAATTGCAGTGCAACAGTAACCTTACGTCGCGTGACTTCCTTCGGATTCACAAAAACCCCTCCAAAGCATTTCAGTCGTAGACGAGTCATCACTACGCATTCACATTCTCACAATAAGTGCCCCATAGTTTCGTCCTGTTCCAGGCTTCTGCCTGGAACGCATTCTTTTCCTTTACTTTTTAAAATGGGCCATCGGCAGGCAGCGTTCAGTGAGTACACACACCAATACTCACAAATCTGCACGATTGTGGCCGGGTTAATTACTATTCCATCCAAGGAGTGCAATGCATAATTTATAATTTAGGAAATCAAAGCCTGCGTTTTTAAACTACTCTTTCTCTTCTTCTTTTAAGTATTTTCTTTTAAATTTGGTTTTTTTCTCGAATACGCTATTTTACTATTTTCAAATTTAATTTCAAAATACTTTACTACGAATATTGTTTGGAAATACAAAATAAGAATGTACTTTTTGAGGTACTTATAAAATGTGAAATGAACATGGTATTCAAAAGCAAAAACGGAAGAAAGAAGATGAAGAATAGTGCGGAATAACAATTTATAATATTTATTTGTAAAATTCGGTGTTATAGATAAAGTTCTTGATTTTTTATTGCTTAATCATTTTTAAAAATTCTATAAATCACAAAATTGCTTAATATTATTTTAAAAATTTTTTTAAAATAAAAAAAAAATATTTAATAATATTAATAATCTATATATATGTATATATATATATATATATATATATATATATATATATATATATATATATATATATATATTTATATATATATTAATATATATATATCTATATATATATATATATATACAGTCTTGCTCATTAAAATAGCACACTTTCAGAAAAAATTCAAAATGTTAAAAAAAAACGTAAATTTTAGGTAATATTAAAAAAATTGTAACATAAATTTATTTAAATTAACTAAAACAAAGAACATAACTTCATTTAAGAAACAAAAAATAAGAATTAACAATAAAATAGAGTATTTTTTTAAAAATAGTTGAAATTCAGGTGCTCATTAAAATAGCACACGTATAAGAATGTTAATAAAATAAGACAATATTTAGCAAAAATCATTTTTTTTTTTAAATTAGTCGTTTAGTATTTGGTTGGGCAACCATTGTTAGATAAAACTGTACTCAATCTTCGTGGTAAACTTTCCAGAAGAACTCTACATCTTTCGGGAGGAATGGACTCCCACCTTTCTTTATAACGGATCATAATTCATTCAAATTCTTTGGTTTTTTTATTTGTACATAAGCATCTACATCCTTCCACAGATTCTCAATCGGATTGAGGTCTGGGTTTTGAGCAGGCCAACCCAAAACCTTAATTTTCTGTTGACTGAGCCGTGATTTTACTAAATTGTATGTGTGCTTGGGATCGTTCTCATGCATAAATGTCCAAGACAACGGCATGTTATTATCAGCAAAGGGCTCCAAATGCTACTCCAATATTGATTTGTAAAGAAAACGATCTATTTTTGAAGTTATTCGTACAATCGTGCCAGTACCATACCAGGAAAAAGTTGCCCACACCATAACATTATCACCGCCATACTTTATAGTTTTTGTAGTATACTTTGAATCGAACTTTTGGTTAGATGGACCCCAAACATGTTTTTTTCCGTCAGATCCCATTCGATTTAACTTAGATTCATCCGACCAAAGCACATTTTTCCAAAAATTTACACAATTTTTGCCATAAGTTTTTGGAAATAAAATTCTGACTTTTAGATTTTTTTGCGAAACAAATGGCTTGGCTTGTGGTATGGACCCTCTTAATTCCACTTCATTCAAACGACGTCGTATAGTGGGGCGACTAATTATCATGTTATGTTCATATTCCAATTTGGATTTAATTTGTGCACATGTTACAAATGGGTCCTTTTTCGCCATATTTATTAGCAAATAATCCTCACATGCAGTGGTTTTTCTGAGTTTCCGCTGCTGTAATATTTTTTCACAAGTATTGTGTGTTGAGAAATAACGTATTGCATTATAAACAGCACATCCAGACCAGTCAACAATTTTAGAAATTTCCGAAACTGATTTTTTTTCGGATTTTAATTTTAAGATCCACGATCCCTTTTCAGGGCTGATATGCTTAGACCTACCCATGATTCCAAACTAAAAATTGTCTCTAACTTGTAAATTTAATTTTAAATTTGCTATTTTATAACATTTGGAAACAATTATTGTTTTGTAATAATGTATTAGCTTCCTTTATTAAAGTGTGCTATTTAAATGAGCACAGGACTAACTGCGCCCTTAAAAACAAATATAATAAAAAAGGGCAACAAAATCAGTAAACAAAAAAAAATCTAATGCAAAAGTTGGACTTTGAGTTGAAATTATAAAATTCACCTACATCACATAAGAACAAGTAAGAACATGGAAGTTATTAACAATCCAAACACTTTTTTTCGTAATTTTACATAGTGTGCTATTTTAATGAGCAAGACTGTATATATATATATATATATATATTAATATATAGAATAACATATAAGAAAACATTTTTACATACAAAATATAAGAAAATTTATTTTCAATATTCTTATTTTTTTAATTAATAATAATTATTAAATGTTATGTTTAAAAATATTTATTTATTTTATTAAATATAAAATTTTCATTCCATAGTTTTTCTTATATATGAACATTTTATGAAATAAATGAAAATATTTAAAATTAATAATATTTCTATACATATATAAATATTGAGATTTCATAACATATTGCAGAATGCTTAGTGTATAACAACTTCTTACACAAGTGAAATAATTAAAATACTCATTTCAAAATTTTATTTGCAAGAAATTTTCTTTTTTTCGCATAAAAAGTCAAATTCTTATTTTAAAATTTTGGTTTTTACCTTAAAAATTTAAATATTTGCAAATATAGGCTTTAAAGACTATATTTTGTTGAC